ATTTTTTTTTTTTTTTTTGACTGCTGAATCTAATTTAGCCGAAAAATTCTGAAAGTGAATTAAGATATGCGATATTTACTTCCAGAATTTAGTTTTAGAACAGCTGTAGTTTTTTGGCCATAACTTTTTTTAGCTGTTCATCGATTTGAATTAGTGAAATTAGAGATGTGAAGAAAAAGTGCGTATTTCTGAATTACTTGTCAGAAACAACGGACAGATATGTGTAAAAACTAAAACTAAAGCAAAAAAACGGAATGAAAGGGATGCTTGATAACGTTAGAAAACGATGCCTGGTAACGTTTTTTCCACCCCGTTTGGTTCACTCTAGCAACAGCCACACACACACAAAGGTTTAGACTGACAGATTTTTTTGTGTTTTTGTTCTGTGAAATGGGACAGTATTCGGTAGTACGTTTGCCTCTTTACACTCCGATTCCACTGGTGTATGGAAGAGGGAGCGAAAATGATGTTGTTTGTATTTAATTCCACATTTTTGTCCTGAAAGCATAGTAGTGTGATTGGAAGCAGTGACGCGCCCCATGGCCGTCACCTTAAAGGCTGTCTTGGCACTTCACAGTTGCTGTTACTTATAAATTTATATGTAGATAGGCGATGTTTCGCCCGTTATGTGAATAAAACATTAGGCGTTTGGAGTTTATTGTCAAGCGTGTGAGGTGCTGTCATCCGAGCGCCAAGCTCTCTTAGAAATTGTTAGCACACACACGTATACGTAGCTGGTAGGTGTGGTGAATTTGTTAAATATCAAAGTTTACCCAGAATACCCGAAGTTGTCGTTAGGATATGACCGTAACGTCGCCCAATTACCGTCGAAGCTGAATACGTCATCAGGAGGAAGTACGTTGCGCTTGAGTACCGAACCGGCCGTCGAGATGAGTCGTAGAAATACCGGAGCTACCGGTCCAAGAAAATGCCCGGGCACACCAGCTCCTCACCGAACTGCGCTGAAGGTTGTCCTTCGCCTCCAAAGCACAAAGACATCGAGAGGGCTTCAGAAAAAAAAAGACAACCAGCGAACGGGTCATCGCCGAAAAAGGCAGCCAGTAGAATCCCAGGCTAGAATGCACCAGGCTTCCCGGTGCAATTATGCGTTTTTGCGCTAAACTCGCAGGATGCTAATAGCAGGAAAATTCCGGCGCTGTAGCCTAACACTCAGGCTCATATTGGCCATGCTTTCACCCCTTCCGGCATGCAGGAGAAAGGGCGTTGGTTGGGATGAGGTAGTGCATTATAGAGCGGCGTGAACCTCCAGGTGCTTGATAACCAGTTTTTTGCATGAAGCCCGGTCGTTTTTATGTGTTTTTTGCTGCTGTGCAATGCAGATAATTGGCGAATGCACGGCTGCCTGTGCGAAGATGCGTTTTTTGCATGGTTCCCCGCAGTTTTTGTTGCTACCGGCACCGGTTTTCTCGGCAAATGCTTCTAGTAAACAAATTAAGACTGGCCACCAGAATTGTCAGAAAACATCCCCCGCAGTTTTGTTGCTACCGACACCGGTTTTTTCGGCAAATGCTTCTAGCTAAACAAATTAAGACTGGCCACCAGAAATGTCAGAAAACATCTCCTTAAATTTCAACTTTCTAGCTTCTCTGGCACCTGAGTTAGCAACTTACTGGAACAAAATTTTCACGGGCTCGTGCATGTTTACCAAGCATCCTGAGAGCTGGGTTCGAGCTGAATGAAACTTAGTGGACGGGGTATACCCGCTCAAAATTGCATTCCTTTAGTTTCTCAGGCACTTGAGTTATCAACTTACACGAAAAAAATTTTGGAGGGTTCGTATGTGGGTACTACGCTTACCCGGGGGCTGTGTTTGAGTCCACTAATACCCGCTTGGGCGGGGAACACTACCCCGAAATTTCAGCCTTCTAGCTTCGTAGATCCCCGAGTTATGAATTTACGCGAGAAAAATTTTGGAGGGCCCGTACGCGGGTTCCACGCGTACCCGGGGGCTGGATTTGAGCTGATTTGCACCAGCTTGGACGGGGAACATTCCCCTAAAATTTCAGCTTTCTGGCGTCTCAGAACCCCGAGTTATAAACTTACCCGAAAAAATTTC